AACTGGCTAACTCAAGGAGTCCTTAATGGAGGACTTGGATTCAAATCTTTCATGAAGAACTCTCTTCCATATACCTATATAAATACTCAAATGGGCTATGCAACATACACAACAGATAGGATTAATCTAATGATTATTCATCTTATTAAATAACTTAGTTTATGATTATACAGATTGAGGTAGGTGAACTTGTTGTTAATTATATAAATTTGAAACTTAATATTAGCCAAACGAAATTATGTAAGTACATGATTAAAGTCATATAGTACTGCATGTAACCCAACATATATCGAAATTAAATTAACAAATTTTTGGATCATTGTACAATTAAATCTAATGTAAGATTAATTCCAACAAGTATGTCAATAAATGACTAATTTATTTTCTGCATATAGAGAAAAAGTATAAAATCATACATAGACATATTTATAATCATATATAAATGATAAACATTCAGAATTATAAGTAAATTACTCAAAGTTTATGACCAATCTTAGCCAACCACTAAGGACCTTGGTCACTATCTCTTTTATAAACTGACTTAATTATGTGGTAACTTTGGGATGCTTTGTTCCTGTCTAAAGAAATTAGTCGGATCAATCTTAGTCTTAATTTTCACAAACCTATTAAAATTTTCCTCGAAGTACTTCACCCCATAAACTCTTCCTTCCTGTAAACTAAAATCTCCCATTGTGGTTGACGTCAATGTCAAGATCTTTGTAGTTAAACAATGTCTATCTTAACTTCTTGGACATAGAAGGAGTCATGAACTTATGAAGCTTCCTCGTTAAATTTATTAAGTGATTTGTAGTTTCAATCCCTCCTTCATTTCAGATGGTAGTATATTGAAACTTTTATAGATTTCTACCTCTATGAGGAAAAGGACTTGTGTTCAAAGGAATCTCTCTTCAAATTGGGTTGTTTCACATTGTCTGATTTATTCTTAAAGAAAAATGAATAATTGTGGGGTACAGTTGAGCAAGACAGTCTCGATTGTACAAATATTAAAGCTAGTCCAAAAAAAAAAAAAACTAACTGGATCCAAATAGTCTGGATGCAATTAGATTGGACTAGACTTAGCTCAAGGAAGCTTTGATTCATGATGGAGAGGAGAGTTTCAAAGTCACCAAGCAACAAGGAGAGGAATGTTCTTCTTGTAGTCTTTTTACTAATATGGGCACTTGTATACAACATCCACAATGAGCGTAGTTGAGAGGTTGTCATTCAAGTGAAAAGCTACATGTTGGTGGGGATCTCCGATGTGGATAAAGTTTTATTCAAGAGTCCTTTGAACTCGAAAGACTGTCAGAACCTCTGGGACTCGACCAACCTAATTTTATAAGCAAGAACGATGCCAAAGATTACTCTTTCTCCACCTGTAATTCAACAACACTAAACGCTTTTTAACTGTTCTTAAGATATGTTACATATTAATCTTAGATTAACATTGTGATAAAATTATTCTTTCACTTATGTTATTTTGAGTTAACATGAGAATTTTGTATTTAGTATATAAAAATATTTTCAACTTTTATTTTTTATTTACGCATACATATATTTAAATGTAAACATTATTATTACTATGTATATGTTATTTCGATTTTATTTTTTTTTTTCGGGGAGAAAATAAAAGTAATTTTCAAAAATTATAACTAAAAAGATGAAATTAACATAAATTAAAAAATTAACCTACCTTATCTATACATATAATACAATTAGTGATCTAACTAAAACAAGATTATTAGTTTTGATAAAATCTCATTATTTGAAAAGTACTCTCATCTTCGTATGAAATAAATCAATCTTAAATTTTTCTAAACCAGTAATCACCAAATATATATATATACATATATATATCTAGAGATTCTAGATGAACCATTTATATAAGGTAGGTTAATTTTTTAATATATATATATATATATATACATAAAATACTTATATTAAATTTCCTCCATTGACTTGTCAAATAAGAATATGACATATCTTCACAAAATCAAATATATACGTCATGAGAAATACTTTAATTTTTCTAGCACATGCATTAATTAATTATGATTTTATTTGAATAAAACTTTTAATTTGGAATTTTAGTAACTTTAATTGGCCTATATATATATATATATATATATATATATATATATATATATATATATGGATCCTATTAATGGCGCATTTAGTGTAATTTAAGACAGTAATAATCAATTAACATAAACAACTAAGTATGCTTTCATACTTAACATAATTGATTCAATTGACCAGCTAACACGTACGTGCCCACAAGTTTCAAAATTTCATACGTTGGTTTTGGTTTTCTAGCTCCAACAAGGAATTATAGTTGGTGTGTACGTTTAAAATACATAGACTGAGATGTGATGGGTTGAACTTTTCTTGATCAAATTTTCTTTATCTCTCAACTAATACAACTATATCTGTGTATATATATATATATATGTGAAGAACCCGTAAACTTGCATGCAAAAGGAGTTGTGACAGAAGAAAAGAGAAAATGTCTCTCCACAAGATGAAACAAAATTCAATCTTTCCCACAGTTTCAATTCTGGTTTTCTTCTTGATTTCGATTTCGAGATCAGCAACATCATCGCCAGATTCATCTTTTGGTTCATTCCTCAATTGTCTTCTTCAATCCCCATCTAATCAATCAGTCTCTAAAGCTATTTTCACTCCATCCGACCCTTCTTTCCAATCCATTTACGAGGCTTATGCAAACAATCTCAGGTTCTGGACTCCTGAAACTCCAAAACCCTTGGCCATTATCGCTGCTTTAGAGGACGCCCACGTGCAGGCAACTGTTATTTGTGGTAAGAAAAACAACATACAGATCAGAATCCGAAGTGGTGGACATGACTTTGAAGGTCTCTCCTATGTCTCTTTTGTCCCATTTGTCATCCTTGACATGTTTAATCTTCGTGCAATCGATGTGGATATAGCGAGCGAGACTGCTTGGGTTCAAGCTGGAGCGACAACCGGGGAGTTATATTATAGAATTGCAGAGAAAAGTGATTTCCATGCCTTCCCTGCAGGAGTTTGTACCACTTTAGGCACCGGTGGCCATTTTAGTGGAGGTGGATATGGGACATTGATAAGAAAGTATGGATTGTCGATTGATAACATCATCGATGCCCAATTAGTTGATGCAAATGGTAGGATTCTTGACAGGAAATCAATGGGGGAAGACTTGTTTTGGGCGATTAGAGGTGGTGGTGGAGCAAGCTTTGGTGTTATCCTTTCGTGGAAGATAAAGCTTGTTCGTGTTCCACCCAAAGTCACCGTCTTCAATGTGGTGAGAACCCTAAAGCAAGGAGCTACTGACATAGTCTATAAATGGCAACAAGTTTCTTCAAAACTTGACAAGGATCTCTTTATTAGGGTTATGCCACAAGTTGTGAATGGTGATAATGGTCAGAAGACAGTAAATATTTCTTTCATTGGCCATTTTCTTGGGCAAACGGATCGGCTTCTTGAATTGCTAAACAGAGATTTTCCAGAATTGGGTTTACAAAGAAATGATTGCATTGAAA